GCGATCATTTTCTGTTTTAAAGAAAAAGAAATAAAGCTGGTAAGATTGAGGCTGGGTGTGATCTCCTCTGTCCCTCAGGTGCGCACTGATGACTCATACTAGCTTAGCGTCGCCCCCTAGTGGTGTCAACCTACCTGCTCTGCTCCCCCCCCCCCACTGCAACAGGAGCTAATTATAATCCTTTCACACTCGAAAGGCAGGTGGATAAAAAACAAAGGCGCCGTATCGCTTGGTCAGCTCAGTGTGGTCAGATATCTGCACATCAGTAACTCACACACTGACACTGACTGGGCTGATGTGTGTTTGCAGCCGGCGCCGCAAGGATGGAGAGATGAGGCAGAGAAGATGGAGGACAGGGGAGAAGGAGGGAGGGATGGGAGGATGGTGACACACATCAGGGCTGCTGTTAATAGCACAGACAGGACCAGAATAGCAGGGCGTCGCAGGAGGGAAAGCGGGTCCTGTATCACCCAGGCAGCCGCAACATGTGAAACTGGAGCCAGGCTCCAAAAAGAGAAAGAAAACACTGAAACTCCAGAGCGCTGCAGAGTGAGTGCACCCTGCAGGAGACACTGAATAAACTTTATTGCTTGAATGTTGCAACACACAGGTCTGCTCGTGCCTCGGGTGGAAAAGAAGGTGCGTAAAAACCAGTCTGTGCGTCCTGGAGCCAGCAGGGATCAGACACTTGGCTCTTTTTTTAATGGAGTTCAGCCTCCCTCAGAGAGTCTGGCTCATTTGGGACTCCTCCTTCATCACCATCCCCTCCTCCTCCTCTTCTCCCATCCACACGCACACCTCTTGCCCTCCTCCTCTTCCTCCTCCTCCTGCTTTCCCTCTCTTCCGCCGCCGCTCCACTCTCTGCGCCCCTGCACAGCCGCAGTCCACGGCGATGCGCCGTTAACGGCAGAGCTGCCCCGCGCTCCTTTCTTTCTTCTTCCTCCTCCTCTTTCTCTAATTGTTCTTCTTCTTCCACCAGCCCTGCTTTCAGGCAGAGAGGACCAGCATCCCACCACCACCCCTCCCCTCCCGTCTCTCTCCTCCTCCGCCTCACCGGGCTGCTGCTGTCTCTGTCCGCCGGCGCTGCAACCATCCTCATCACTGACATGGAGACTCCAGGCTGCTGTCGCGCTTCCATCTAGACGGGAAGTCTCAACTCGCAGAATCAAGGTAGGCTGGGCGGAGGTGGAGATGGCGGTGCATCCTTTGAATGCATGAACATTGCACCCTGTTTTTTTTATTGTTTTTTTTCCTCTCCTGCACCCTTTCTCTCAGACGTGCAGCAGCAGCATCTGTGCTTTTTCTCTCTGCACCATATGGCGTTTCAGAGAAATGCAGTGAATCCGTGACGGTCGCGGTATCTGCTGCTGTTGGTCTCTGACAGCTGCGTGAATTGTTGCTGTTTGGGAAATGTGGCCTGAAATGAGGCTGCAGAGCCTGCACCGCTTTTCTACCCCCCTCCTCATGCCCATGCATTAATAAACAGCTCTTCACGTGTGGTCTAACCTATGTAGGCTGCAGGCCTCTCCTGCTATAATGATAATAATAACCCCAGAGGAAGATGCATTATGGTAATTGCGTTGAACAGCTGCACGTTCACATGCCATTGCTCTGCAGTTGTATTATTTCAAACCAGTAGAATTTTAATTTAAGTGTAGCTCAAGGTTTTAATTCCGTGTTATAAAAGTGCAGCATTGAGGTTTGTGTTTGTTCCTGCATATTGTGTGTTCACAGACCTACACACCAGGCTGAGAATATAACCTTGGCCATTTTTTGTGATGTGTAATGAGTAACACAGGTGTCTAGCCACAAACACAACCAGTGTCATGCACAGAGGTGGAGAAGAGCGGCCTCTCACTGTTTTTGTTTTCAGTTAATTTAAGTGTAAGAGATAAAAAATACAAACCAAAAGAAAAACACATGCACACAAAATTATTTATTTATGGTCTTCTGCTTTTGCCAGTGAGACGGATTTTGTGTGCACATTTTGGACGATCATTACAAAGCCTCACTCTCTCTTTGTTTGCCACATTTTCAGACGGGGGGCACAATGAGTGAAGAGCCACCGGTCACCCCCAGCTGGCTGACCCCTGACCCCACAGCATGGGCCAGTGGAGGCGGGGGCCCAATGGATAACAGCACTATCCTGGGGACATTTCCACCGGACGACTCCCTTTCGCCCAGCCAGCTGCCCCTGCTGGTCAACCCCTGGGACATCGTGCTGTGCACGTCGGGGACCCTCATAGCCTGTGAGAATGCCCTGGTGGTGCTGGTGATCTGGCAGAACCCAGCACTCAGAGCCCCCATGTTCCTGCTGATCGGCAGCTTGGCGCTAGCCGACCTTCTGGCCGGCTTGGGCCTGGTGCTCCACTTCACCTGTGCCTACCTACTTCGCTCTGACTCTGCCCAACTATTGACCGTAGGCCTGGTGGTGGCCTCCTTCTCGGCCTCCGTCTTCAGCCTGCTGGCTATCACGATAGACCGCTACCTGTCGCTGTACTATGCCCTCACCTACAACTCGGAGCGGACGGCGGCCTTCACCTACACCATGCTGGTGCTGCTGTGGGGCCTCTCCCTGTGTCTGGGCCTGCTGCCGGTCACAGGGGTCAACTGCCTGGCGGAGGAGGCTACGTGCAGCGTGGTGCGGCCGCTGACGAAGAACAACATCGCCGTACTCTCTGTCTCCTTCCTGCTGCTTTTCGGCCTCATGCTGCAACTGTACGTCCAGATCTGCAAGATTGTGATGCGCCACGCTCATCAGATCGCCCTGCAGCACCACTTCCTGGCCGCCACACCCCACTACGTCACAACACGGAAGGGCGTGTCAACGCTGGCCATCATCCTGGGCACGTTCGCCGCCTGCTGGATGCCGTTCACTGTCTACTCCCTCATTGCTGATTACACCTACCCTCCGCTCTACACCTATGCAACGCTGGTGCCTGCCACCTACAACTCCGTCATCAATCCGGTCATCTACGCCTTCAGGAACCAGGAGATCCAGAAGGCACTGTGGCTGGTGTGCTGTGGCTGTGTGCCCGCCAGTGTGGCCCAGCGTGCAAGGACCCCCAGTGACGTCTGACAAAGCAGACCCAGGTGGGAAGAGAGAGGCGCCCTGGGTCAGCTCTGCTCCTCACTGGGTCTGTCCAGTGTCACAGAGAGCAGTGTCAGAGGAGGAGGCCCAGGGATGTGGCCCCAGCTCCTGCTGGAGGTGTCTCTGGCTGAGGCAGGTTGCCCACTGACCCACAGCCCGCCTGGATAGAGGGTTTGGATGGAGTTTCTCTTTCCTTTCTTACAATCACCATAGGGCAACGTATCTCACTGTCTTCCCCCTGTAGAGACAGCCACTGCGCGGCCTGCATCCCTCCCCCTCCCGTCCAGCCCGTGCCACGCCCTTCCTCTGTTCTGCAGAGATGAGTGCATCACATGTTCCATCCATAGGATGTGCATACAGTTAACAGCACCAAACCTCTGGCTGACACGTGCTTGTTTTTTTTCTCCTCCAAATGGGGGCAGGGAGGGGCGGGTTTATTATTAGTTTGCGCCCCTGTGCGTGCGTAAAGGCGCACGGGAGATGAACAAAGCCGTGAGAGGGAGGGAGAGTAGAGAACACGCAGGCATCTCCACAGTCAAGTCCGTCTGTCTGGAGCAGCATCCCGGCTCTCTGCTGCTGCTGCTGCACTCTGGACGTGCGTCGAAAGCCAAACAGCGGCGGAGAGCTAAAAATAGACCCGGCTCTCTCTGTGATCCGCGCCCTGCGTCCTCCACCGACGCCGGGAAAGAAATCAACCCGCCTCTCCTCCTTTTTCTCGCCTCTCCTCCTTTTTCTCGCCTCTCCCAGTTTTCTCTCTCTGGATTGTACGCGTTTGTATGTTTTTTAGCTGCAGCGCACGCGTCTGGGAAGATCAAGACAAAGCCCCAGGAGACCCCCACAACCATTTACCCCCACTCCTCCGTGTTTTATTAGTATAGAGGCCTGTTGGATTATGTAACCACCTTATATCCCTCCTCTTTCACCTTCTGAATTAAAATTATTTCTTATATTTAAATGGTTTTTGCTATAAATCCATTGAAATAGAGTGATATTGACCTGAAAGCATTTTTTAAAATGATAACACAAATGTCAAAAAGAATGCCCCTAAAGAAGACAACATCAACATGACTGTGATAAAATCAAAATCTCACGTGGCATAAATCTGAATTCAATTAAATGTATTTGGTGTCGTCCTCATGATATCTGACCATGATGCAACACCTCAGTCTACTTTGCATGCAACACGGATTTCCCCCCTTTTCCTGCTGACTTCAGTGCAGAAGGTCACACAAGCCACTGGAGGCCATGTGTCACCATGACCCCAATAATCAAGTTACAATGGTGACACAGACAGATTTGCACTGTTTGCAAAACCCAGAATTCTTGATGTTTTTTGCTGCACCCAGCCGATTTGTTTTTGAGGCGGTCTCGCAGCTCTTGCTTCTGTGATCCTGCCTGAAATGATCTGTAATTTGAAAGAAGCCCAAATCACCACCTCTCACTCTCCACCAGCTGCTCTGAGTTAGTTTCCATTTTATACGTGCGAGCCCCCCCTTCCAAAAAACCCCACGACCCATGTCAGCAATAACTCGCCCATCGTGAATAGTTGTTACTTTTTGATGCGAAGCAATACTCAGACAGCAATAACATCCACGTTGATCCACCATGACTTCTTTACACCACGAAGGCCGCTCGGGTGGGGAGGACCAGGCTCCAGTGGTTCTCTGGCAATACATCTTCAAACGGGGGGGGGGACGAGATCCAACAACTGCCTCATTCCTCCACAGAGCTTCCCCCCCCCAAAATCAGGCTTTGATCATTTGTCACACTGGGATGGATTTTATTTTGTGGTTGTTCGTTACCTCTGCCTCTTGTGAGCATATGAGCCGTCCAGAGGGTCACAACCTAAAGCCTCAGTGTGTGGCCTGGGACTGTGTTGTCGTGCATATGGTATGAGCTGCATGGCCTCTGTGTGTGTGTGTGAGATCCAGCAGCTTAGCAGACTATGATCTGTCTCCTTGGGTCTTGTGTTTGTTGGGTATGTGTGGCGGTGGTGGTGGTGGTGGGATGTCTGAAAAAATACAAATTCCCATTAACCTCCCTCTCCCTGACCTCGGGGGATAACGCTGCCAGTCTTCCTGTCCATTCTGAGAGAAGTGGCCTCGTTTGCGTGTGTGTAGAGCTCCTTTCTTTCTTTTCTGGGACAGAGATGGGACTTGGGACTTGGATGTGGACGTTCCAGCTCTTCAAGCCAAAGTGAAAAAGAGACTGGGACCCGAGTCCTCCTGGGTGTTTTCTCCCTTCCTCTGTTTCACCGATATCTCACCCTACTTTTAAAAATCAATCCTGTCTGGTGGAGGCAGGTGTCCGTTAAGTGACCTCTGAATGATTCTATGAGCTAAAAAGGGCCACTTCCAAATACACAGATGATGCTGCCTCTTTGCATCCTTGCGTCCCCTCTCACTGATCTAAGGAGCTCCCAGTCTTTGTCTTCTGACCTTGGATGAGGTGTTAGGGGGGAGTGAGCAAGGACGTCTAAAGAGCAGCATTTCTGAGCATTGGAACGTAGCCCGTGTCTGTGAACTTGTGCACAGTGTCAGACTGAACCGACAGGTCAGGCTGACACATCACAAACCATCACAAACTCTTTATTCCTTTTACCTTTGGAGAGAAAAAAAAGTCTATTTTGTTATATTCATTCAGAAGTTCTATTTTTTTCCCACTTAAGTCGGGCCTGTGTTCTTTCAGATTCTGATGATGTTGTACGATACTAACGGCGCTGTAAAGCCTTTTTTCTGAATGTAGTTATAATCCAACTGATACTGACACCCCCCCCCCCCTTGACTAATTTGTTTCTGTAAATAACGCATGCATAAGAAGGATGGGGGGGGGCTTTATGACTTTATACCACCGTGCATGGTGCTACCAAAGCCACTCAAACTAGGGGGATGAGTTTGGTCGCACCATTTTTAAAAAATAGTTTTGACTGACGTTTCTCCACATCAGCTGTCAATGTGGAATACATTCTGTTCAGTTTCACTTTTCCAGCTTCAGTTTGCACCAGTTAAAGGACGATTGAGCAGATTTGGCGACACACACAAGGGAAGAGAAAAGAAATGGTCCACGACTTTCTCTGATTGGTGAATGTTTTTTCCTTCTGGTGCAGCCAAACTGTATTTTTTTTTTAACGGGTGTGAACAAGGGCTTTGTATCCACGAGTGGTGAAGGACTGTGATGTTGGATGTAATCCTTCTTTGTACACACACACACCTGCTTATCTACTGAATGGTTTCACAGTGTCACCGTGCACAGACATGTACGACGCAGCCGAGGATTTGTGTAGCCAGCGATGGGCTGTTCCACTGAGGGGGGAGGTGTCTCTGATGGTGACTAATCTAGAGCTAAATATCAAAACACTCAAGGGCCTGTGTGTGTGCGTGTGTGTATGTGTGTGTGCTTGCGTGTGCGTGTGTGTGTTTTTTGGGGTGGGGGGGGTTGGAGCTACAGGGGGACACCACAGTAACAGCATCTTGTGTAGACGTATGCATAGTTTTCAATGTGAAATGCACTTTATTTTTTGGATAAAAATGGCACAACAAATTATTAAGTATCTGCAAAACGAAACGTATTAATGATGATAATCAACATGCACTAACTTAATGGAGATATTGTACAAACGTGTGTGTGAACGTGGTGTCTATTTTTCCAAGGTGTTAGTTGTACTTTTTAATTGCTTTGGTTAGTTCACTCAATTGAGAGATCTTGTTAATTTTGTATTAAAAACAAACATGTGCTGTGCATAAAACTCCTGCCTTGATTAATTTGTTCATCCTCGCCATGGCTCCCTTTCACACTCTTCTGTTTCCTTGGCAACTCCCTTCTTAGTTGTACTGTTACCAGGGAAACAGAAGTCTTGAAGCCAGGTACGTGTGTCGACAGCAGGACAGAAAAAAAAACATGGCAGCCGAGCGTGATCCTTCATTCAGCATTTTATTTTTTTCTCTGGGTCAAAGGTTACACTGCTCACACTAGCATATACATGACATCCCCCGCCCTCACCCGTACCCTCCCTCCCACACAGCAGTGAGCGATTGCAGACGCAGACGGCTCAATCTGTTTTCATATTTATGATCAGTAAGACTTTTTACATATCGCCCTCTCATTCATCTTAACAGCGGAGAATTGGGGCCATGTTGAAGAAAGGAAAAACTCAAATGTCAATGATAAAATCATGATTAAAGAGAAAGAAGTTGTAATTTTCTTCTCGATCCACAATCTTGAATCTCATTGAGAAATTGTGACACCCTCTTTGAATATATCACAGAAATATCCAACGATGTACAGTCGACCACTACCAAACATTTTCTTGCTTCACAAAGTTTGTGTTCTTTCTTCAGAACAGACACATTTTCGTACACAAACTTTTCAAAGTCCTGACACATGATAACGTGGTGCTGATGAGCCAAAAGATTAAAAAAAGTAGGAAGTATTTATCTATCTGTGATGGTATCCTATAGTATAACTATACTATAACTATACTATAACAAGATGCACCACATTCCTCATTTTGAAGGAGGCAACAGGACTTTATTCTCGTCATATTCCAACTTAATTCTCTTAATTTAGGATTTTATTCTTTTTAATTTACGATGTACTTGAAATCTCTTTTTTTCTCAGTGAGTGGCCCTAATTCTCCGTTGTACATCTTTCCCACAGCACTTCAGACGCTCCTCCATCTTCCACTGACTGCAGCTGCCAGTCAGCTCGTCTGTTACTCCTTCACCTCCAGTTATTTCCATCTACATGTTAAAAACCCGCCTCCTGGTCTATGGCATACGTAAGTGTTTGAGTAAAAACATTAAAAAAAGACAAGTACATTGGTTAGCTCAAGAGGAAAGTTTCTAATTCTCCTATTACTCTCTCGAGCTCCGACTATACATTAGATTAGCACCTTCACGCGGTGTCTAAAGTGTTACGACAGGCAGAGAAACATCCACTGGGGTGTATTCACAATGCTTTGAAATATAATCAGCAAATTGAATGTTAGTGGTTCTCGGAGTGGTCAGCATTAAAGTCTATTACTAGTCTCTTTACAGTGTTTATGCAGCTTGAATACACTCCCAGATTTCCAGTTTTGGACCTTTCAGCTTATATCAACCTACAGCATGTGATTGTGTGTAGTAGTGTGCATGTGATTGTGTGTAGTAGTGTGCATGTGTGTGTGCGAGTGTGTGTGTGTGAGTGTGTGTGTGTGTGTGTATTCAGCGACAGTGTGTGATAACCCGTGAGTGTTGTACAGTGGGCATTCCTTCAAGTGAGTGTGAGATCGACCGGTTGTGTGTCTTCTTCTCATTGTGTGTGTATCTTCAGTGGTTATCATCCCATATTTTTCGCGTGTATTAATCGGACCAGTCGTTTTCCTCCAGCTCGGAGTCGTCCTCGGAGTCGGAGTATTCCACTGCGATGCGTCGCGACAGAATGGTGGCCACGTCGTTTCCGACCGGCTCCCTCTTCGCCTGCTGCTCCTGCTGCTCCTGCACCTTCTTCAGCTGGATGCCTGTAGTGAAAATGGAATTCCATGTTTTAAACTTACATACTCATTGAGTGATTGGTTGTGGAATTTGTAATCGAACAAGTGAAAAAGCAGTGGCTTAATTTTATTTATTTATTTCCTTCAATAGTTTGATTTCTTTATAAAGGATGTAATTTCTGAAAAAGCTGTGCAACACACACACACACACACACACACACACACACACA